CCGTCAATGATTGCGGGAGTGGAGAATGAAACCTCGGCCCTCTGCTATATTGAATCGGTCTTCGCATTTCGTAATCGTCCATAGGCACTTGTTTCGGCCTGTTTGTCTTTTTATTTTGCTCTGCAATGTCGGTGATGGGATAAATGTCCAACATAACACTGAACGGTTGCGGTTTCCGCTTCTTTCCATAATTACTCGAATAGGAAGCTGGATTTTCGTACATGGTTTCAATCGACGTCGGTTTATAATAATTAGATGGCCGTCCGTAAGCATCGTAGTTGTATCTGTGAAGACCTGTCGGTGAAAATCTGAAAAATCGAACTGATTTCACTTTTCCATATTTAAGAACATTTTTATTCCAGAGAGTTTATTGCATTTCAATATTTTCTAAGTGCAATATTTTCAGAAGTATAATATTTTTTAATATACTATAATATTTTTTATTTACATGCAATAGTTTGTGCTAAAGAAATTATTGTAATATATTTAAATCGATGTCCAACTACGATAGTTAAATAATTTTATAATTAATTTCTTCAGCTAACAGATTTTTCAGTATGTACTATATGCAGTTGGAAAAATAGCTGAACGGTACAAAGGCAAACGACATACTCTACTTGCTCCTCTGTCAATCTGTAAGTGTGTAAATAATCAATAATTTCCAATATGTGTGCCCTATTTTAAAAATTCTGCCACTAGAGTGGTTCTATCAACTTTATGTAGGACAAATAAACCTGCATTCTTTCCGCTTGCCCAGTTTCCAACCACCAATGATACGTAGATTCTTTTTCTACAGACCTGACATTGGACGTGGCCAATAAATTCACGTCCGCCGGATGTTTGGGTTTGTACTGATAAAACGGATCTTCGTTTAACGAATAAGATGGAGTTTCATCTTCTTCCGACCTATCGCTGTTGGACATCATCTCCCCTGCTCCAGGATACAAATCGTATTTCTTTGGATTCACGTACACGCCAGTGAACTTGATGCCTCTATTTGATAAGTCAGCGTCGTTTGTCAGATATTTGATGATATCCTGAATATTTCTAGAGGCGTATGGATATCTGTACTGGGTGAGTTGAGGGTATCTTGGACGTTTAAAGGCAGTTGGTTGTGGTGTCTTCAATTCCCAATGAAAAGGAAGAGGTCGATTCTCCTCTGAACTTCCATCTTCTTCCAACTCTGGGTACTTGTGCCTGTTTAAGTGTATTTAAAAACATTTTTCACACAGACACTTTTTTCTACCAATTAGTTCTCAAATTTCAATTCTAGAGATTTATGCCGAATGAAATAAAAGATTTGTAATATATAAATGAGATTGAAATTTTGATTCATTAGTACTTGCGATCCTACGTTGGTGTACGTAATGCGTATTAAGTAAGAACAAAGTGAGTGATAATAGAGCTATGTTCGAGGGAAGAAGAAGTGTTGCTGAAGAGTAGAAAGTGTTTCTTGAAGATTTACATACTGTAGGCTGTAATGTTGATTTATTACCGGCTTGAGGCACAGGCAGGGAACACTGATATAATGAAACTGAGATAATCAGTTCATGTATATTTCCATCGAATACGAATCGTGTGTGTGCGTAGGTCACAGAGGGTGCTCATTAACTTTTAAACGAAGGAAAAATGTGACGATTATAAATACTTAACGGACATTTAAAACCCAGTTACGGGTTTTGTAAGCGTTATGTAACACCGTATTGAAATCCTCGACTTCATTCCTGACGATTGAAGCGAAACTCTATGAATATTAGTTCGTTTATGACGTCTTTGATGACTTGAGAACTCGTATCGAACATTTTCATTACATATTTATGTTGTCAGGTTACAGAAAAGGCCACAATACAATCACTTATTTCAATAAAGAGTAACGTAGACAATATTTTACCTTTGTCTCACACGATAAACAATTGCATGATTGTCGAACAATTGTTTCCCTTCTGCCGACTCGTCCACCTTGTTCTCCACCGATTTCAGCACTCTTTTCCTTAGCTTGAAGTTATTCAGGTTCTGAGACTTAAATTCTGCGTCAGTTACTTTCTGATCGGTCGTTTCATCGTAAAGGAACAGATTCCCATCATTGTCTAAACGATCTTGAATGTAAATGGAACTGGTTCTATTCATTTCTGGCGGAACAGTCGAGTTAAACAATTTTTTCGTAAAGTTCGAAGGTTTCTTAAGAGCATTTTGCAAGATGTACATATGCTTTGTTTCCTGATTCAGTTTGCTGTTCACTGATGAAGCGGATGTGAAGTCGTATAAAAATATGCCGACCTATAATAGGAGAAAGAATAAAATTGTTAAGATAAATTTGTACTAAATTTTAATTAATTCATCTTTCTCAACTTGTTCTAAACATATAAAGCATATTTTCATAATGTACTAAATAATATTTGATTTTATTTTGTGAAATTAATTTTAGATTTTTTCCAACACAAAAGGTATTGGGAAGTTCACTTCTCAATTCAAACCGAACTGGTATCCTGTTCGCAAGAAAGGACATTTCTTCACTAGATTTCGTTTATACATGAAGCCTAAACGGGAACCAGTCTCGGCGCACGTTAATTCGTGTCAAAACACAGTTAACGCCCTATATGTGAAGCACGCAGAAATCTTCTTTGAGACGCTTGGTTTGCCATGCATGCGAATCTGTTGCGGCGAGATTCACGGTGAAATTGTGATTTTTAACTCTGCTACCTGTACCTGTTGCATTAATCATGGGAGAAAACTCGTGAAATGTAATTGCGCTTATTGTTCACCACAATGGCGTCTCATTAAGGCGCCGAGTGACAAAAACTTTACTTTTAACGAAACATTTGTTATTGCAAAGTTAAACGCTTACTTTCTGTCAGGTTGCTTTAATTTTACAATTAATCACATTTTGAATCAGTTATAAAGAGATCGCGGATGTTTATGCAATTCCAAACTTGTATAAACATAACTAAAGAAATGAAACTAAATAGGAATTCGTTTTACCCACTAAATATTCTAATAATTATTTTTTAGATTTTTACATTTTTAAGTGCACTTATGAATGCATAAACATTCATAATCTAATTATAAAACAAATTTCGAATTAAGTAAAAACATGAAAATCAACTTTCTATTAAAACAATTAGAAAATCACATTTCTTACGTTGCAATGAATCCAATTTCTGGTATGAATGCATTAAGTACTATTAATTGATATATTGTTCGCGCATAGTTTGGTATTCATTAAAAAATCATCGTAAGTGTTACAGCTATGCAGACAGTAGCGTTTGAACGCGGTAGAACGTAATGCACTGTTAATGATCGATATGTAATGTTTCTCGATCACGCGGGGTGAGTCATTGAACTTACTCGATGTGGCAATAGGTACACGAAACGATTCCTTGTGAGATGAATAGCTTTTGTAAGAGGATCGCGTAAAAGAAACCAATACTCTTTAAAGCAAATAATACGATATATAGGTGAGCAGTGTGCTACTGTTTGCATAGCGAGTATATGTAATGCTAATAGATTGTGTTATAATGTTTGAGTTTATACGATAACTAGTTCAATTGAGGATGCAACATTTTTTTGACAAGAGGAAACAAAGAAAAATGATTGATGGTAAAAATTTAGAAACATTAATTCTTTCAGGAATGAATGTTATTTGGACTGTGGAAAAAATTCTTCTCTTCAATTATTAATAATCTTCAACATAATAATCTTAGAAATAAGACATTTCTTCTATTGCTTTTGCAAAGGAAATCTAATATACTAAAAATGGGACTATATTGGGAGTATATTTATTTATTAAAAATATTATTTATTGATATTTATTTATTTATAAAAAATAAATATATTCTTGTTTAAGTCTGTTAATAAAATTTCACATGTGAAATAGTTAAGAGGGTTGACGAGAGAACTAAGTACTGAAAAGATTTTTATTGGTACTACGGTTGGATACTTACTAATGCCACTGCCACTACCACCATAACTCCAATTACAAATTTCCTCGTAATAGAACTGTATCGACTTCTATAGTATCGATCACCGTGATCGGAATAAAGTCCAAGCTGAGACGTATTAATTACAGTTCTTCTTCCTGTTTCCAGCATCTTTTGATTATTCGCATGACATTTTTGAGATGGATCGATCGATCTTTCGCACACTCAGGGATTTTTTTACCACATCATTACGATCTTTATCAATATAAAGTGGACATAATAGAAATATAAATAAAACGTAACAAGAAGATTTAAAAAAATATTAGTATTCCAATATCAACGATACAACAATCGAAATGGTAATTAAAATGGGCACGATTTTCAATCAAACAATCGAAGTATTGTTTAAAAATTTCTAACAACAAATAGTTTTGCAAATCCTGTGTCGCAAGAACACGAGACGGTATTCTTTCGAAGTTCCATATACAACTAACGAGCACTCATTTCTCGCAACGGAGTTTTCACTGTTTGAATTCTATCATGAACGTAGAAAATTTCTTTGTTCGTGGGGGAGGCTTGTTATGGTAGTAGGAGATAGGTTATGGACTACTTACTACGCAAGGAGATTCGAGTCAAATATTATTGCACGATACTGCAAGAGAATGCCAATGTCACGGTGTCATGCTGGCTGGTTAAGCACATCAACTATTATCGTCATTCCGTCATGGTTCACGCGGAAGGAAAGTCACTGTAATTACCTTGTTGTGATGTAAAATAACTCTCGATTGATTGCAACAGCAAACTATTTTCGATTTATAGTGTTTGTTCAAGCCAGTCGCGTTATTCTGAATTCTCGAATGCATTTCATAATCATGAGTTAATATTCATGAGAGAAGAGGATGTCGTAGGCGAAAAGGTGATTCTCAAGACCCTCTGGCAAATCAGGTGTACCTCACTTTCGATCTTCCGAAAATGTTACATCGAAACGATCAAGTAATATGACAGAAGTATTTATCATATGTCACGACTGGTTTCTATCTTCTATATATTTTAATTTTGTGAAATGAAACACGAAACGACAGCTATTTTTTATATAAATTTTTTATTTCTTTTGTAATATGCGTGTGTCAGATGTACAAAGTTATGTGCATCCATTTTATCTTATATTCACTGTATTTTTCTTACACAAATGTAACACAGCATCATCAGCTTTTTAAATCAATTATTATTATTCCAATCATTTCATTGTAAACTACTTTACGACTTTGTTCGAAGCATTCGTTACACTTACAATAATTACCATTCTAGTTAAACGTATATAGTACAAGCTACTGGATATAATATATACAGCAAACCTGTCATATCGTTTTCACCCACTTTTCGATTACAGATTGCTTATCATTTCCTATGGTGATCCATAAATAGCTTTGTATACTATACATTTAAAAATTACAAAAAAGAGGGCAAAAATATTGCCCGTCTTCATCGAAAGAAGGGTGGTAATTCCAGTGGATTCTCTGGTACATCGTAGAAATAACCAATAGGCCTCTTCGTGGTTGGTGGTAAAGTTGGTGGTGGAGCTGGCCTACCAGTTGGTGGGGCAGTGTAGATAGTCGATGTTGGTACGAGAGTGTAAATTGGAGTTGGTGGAGGTGGTGGAGTTACCGTAACACGTGGCGTAGTGGGAGAAGAGGGTGGGAGGTATGGCGGAGGTCGCGTACTCGGTACTGTTGGATGATAAGGTATACTAGATGTGGACAAGGTAGTAAATGGAGTTCTATGTGTTGGTGGGAATGGACTTGGTGTTGTGTGGACAGTGGTATATCTTGGAGTAGTCTGATCGTCTGGAGGTAAGTACGAGCCTCCATGCGTTGATGGTTTAGGGTAAGGCGGTGGAGTTGGAGGCTTTGGTGGTTGTGGAGGAGTTGGAGGTCTTGGCGGTTGTGGGGGAGTTGGAGGCCTTGGTGGTTGTGGTGGAGATGGGGGTATATATGGTGGTGGAGTTGGAGGTTTTGGCGGCTGTGGAGGAGATGGGGGTAAATATGGTTGTGGGGTTGGAGGCCTAGGTGGCGGAGTTGGAGGTACATATGGTGGTGGGGTTGGTGGTCTTGGTGGCTGTGGAGGGGATGGAGGTACATATGGTGGTGGAGTCGGAGGTCTTGGTGGCTGTGGTGGAGATGGAGGTACATATGGTGGTGGAGTTGGAGGTTTTGGCGGCTGTGGAGGAGATGGGGGTAAATATGGTTGTGGGGTTGGAGGCCTAGGTGGCGGAGTTGGAGGTACATATGGTGGTGGAGTTGGTGGTCTTGGTGGTTGTGGAGGAGATGGAGGTACATATGGTGGTGGAGTTGGAGGTTTTGGCGGCTGTGGAGGAGATGGGGGTAAATATGGTTGTGGGGTTGGAGGCTTGGGTGGTGGAGTTGGAGGTACATATGGTGGTGGAGTTGGTGGTCTTGGCGGTTGTGGAGGGGATGGAGGTACATATGGTGGTGGAGTCGGAGGTCTTGGTGGCTGTGGTGGAGATGGAGGTACATATGGTGGTGGAGTTGGAGGTTTTGGCGGCTGTGGAGGAGATGGGGGTAAATATGGTTGTGGGGTTGGAGGCCTAGGTGGCGGAGTTGGAGGTACATATGGTGGTGGGGTTGGTGGTCTTGGTGGCTGTGGAGGGGATGGAGGTACATATGGTGGTGGAGTCGGAGGTCTTGGTGGCTGTGGTGGAGATGGAGGTACATATGGTGGTGGAGTTGGAGGTTTTGGCGGCTGTGGAGGAGATGGGGGTAAATATGGTTGTGGGGTTGGAGGCCTAGGTGGCGGAGTTGGAGGTACATATGGTGGTGGAGTTGGTGGTCTTGGTGGTTGTGGAGGAGATGGAGGTACATATGGTGGTGGAGTTGGAGGTCTTGGTGGCTGTGGAGGAGATGGGGGTAAATATGGTTGTGGGGTTGGGGGCCTAGGTGGTGGAGTTGGGGGCCTAGGTGGTGGAGTTGGAGGCCTTGGTGGTTGTGGAGGAGATGGCGGTACATATGGTGGTGGAGTTGGAGGCCTTGGTGGCTGTGGCGGAAGCGGTGGTCTTGGTGGAGGCGTAGGTGGTACGGGAGGCAGATAGCCCGGTGCAGATGTAGGTGGTCTTGGAGTTTGAGGCGGCCGTGGGGGTGAAGGTGGTCTTGGTGTTTGTGGTGGTTGCGTTGGGAAAGGTGGTGGGGTCTTTGGTGGTTGTGGCGGCGAAGGAGGTAAATATGGTGTTGGTGGTTTAGGTGGTGGTGTCACGGGTGGTCGTGGTGGAGAAGGTGGCCTTGGAGGTTGAGGAGGCTGCGGAGGTAATGGAGGTCTTGGCGTTTGTGGTGGTTGTGGAGGAAAAGGTGGTGGTGGTGCTGGTGTTTTTGGAGGTTGTGGTGTTGGAGGCAAATAAGGTGTCTGTGGTCTAGGTGGTGGTGTTCTTGGTGGTTGTGTTGAAGGTCTTGGCGGTGGATGTGTAAATGGTGTTTGATAAGTGTAACCAGTTGATGGTGGTCCAGGCGGTGGTGTCCTTGGTGGTTGTGTTGAAGGCCGTGATGGTGTAGGAGGTGAATATGTAAATGGGTGTGATGGTGTTTTATAAGTGTAACCAGTTGGTGGTGTTCTTGGTGTTTGTGGTGGAGATGGTGGCACATACGGTGGTGGCGTCGGTGGTCGCGGTGGTTGCGGAGGAGATGGTGGTACATATGGTGGTGGCGTTGGAGGTCTTGGTGGTTGTGGAGGAGATGGAGGTACATATGGTGGTGGAGTTGGAGGTCGTGGTGGCTGCGGAGGAGATGGAGGTCTTGGTGTTTGTGGTGGGAAAGGTGGAGGTGGTGCTGGGGTTCTGGGTGGTTGAGGGCGTGGAGGCGGTCGTTGAGGCGGCAGCGTAAATGGATTTTCAGGTGTTGGATAATTATACCCTGGAGATGTTCTTATCGTTGGCCTTCTGTAAGAAAGTGTATTCATAAATGATGATTTTATTAAAAGTTGTCCTACAAATTATAGTTTCATCAGTCTAATGATATCAAGTTCTTTACAATTTTCTAAATTCAAGTTTCTACAAATGCTTACTGCGGTGGTGAAGTCGGCCGAGGTGAAAGTTCTGGTGTTGTTGCAGGACGATCAGTCCTTGGTGGAACATATGATGTTGTCTGAGGTGGCGTATATGGCCTACTAGGTGTTTCGTAATAATATCCTGTAGTCTTTGATGGTGGACTTTTTGTTGGTCTGTGAGATAATTGTGGTATATACATTATGATTTAAATTTATATCAAATTTACATCTAGAATAATCGCATCATGTTCTAATATGAATTTTCGATCAATTCTTACTGTGATGGAGTTGGATAAGGATAAGATGGTGTGCGTGACGTTGTGAATTTTTGTGGTGTTGGATAGGTATATGGTGCCGTTGTTACAGGACGCAGTGTGCTTGATGATGCATGCGATGTTGGATATCCATGAGTCACTGCTGTCGGTGGTCTTGACGTTGGTCTGTGGAAAATTTGTATAACTGACTACTGTAGCCAAAATGTTAAAGCTACTTGTGTGTACATTTGTTCGAGTAATTATGTAAATGATCGTACAATGTTTTACACAAAATTTTGCAATCAATTCTTACCTCGGGGGTAGCGTGAATATTTCATTTGGTGGCTCATAGATATAGCCTCCATTGCTTGCTATCGCCCTTTTGCTCTTCTCACTCGATGCTTGCGCATGGTATGTGGAGAGCACTGCCACTATTGTGGCAATCCACAAGATTCGCTGAATCAGAAAATACATGTCATTATTATCTTTCATATAAATCAAACATCTCACACATAAATGTACAATAATGATCTCAATTATTAACCTGAATGAATTCGAAATATATGTATTAGATCATGGATTGCCACGCAATTGGCCATGATATATCGAAGATTGTCTTCGTGGGATTATCTCACGCCTTAACCAAGAACTTACATAACCTGTCTCGACTACGATACATCTTGTGTGATACACTAGTGATCGTGAAAGGTTCGTTCGTGCGAGATACAGCATTCAGCATGTCATTGATCATTATGTACTTAATCTTCAAAACCTGTCATTTGGAATTTTTGATCAATGTCCTATCCAGGCTGAAGATGCTTTCTAACCCTAATATTTTCTGTCCCTGAGTTTAACCAACCATCATATGATAAACTTCACATGTGCGCATTTAACTTCACTATTCTAATTCACGTCGCGATTCTTATTTTCCTTCTCTCGTTAATTAGTTTCATACTTAAAATAGCGTACGTTATTTATTAGCTGTTTTTAATACAGTCAATATCCTACGCGAGGAGTATGCCCATTTGACCGCGTGATTTTACATCGTTGAAAAGTGTTTATTGTCATATTTTGTATGTATGTATCTTTGCAATAAACTATTGAATGTTTCGAATTAATTCGATCTGATCATAATAATGCTACCATCCGACGTAATTATCTTTCGTTGATTGAATAAGCGTCATAAATCAGAGAAAGCTGATGGAAGCTTCGTTGCCCAGAAATTTAAAACCGTCTTATCCGTTTACGACATCGTGAGCGCCGCTACGAATGATGGTTCTGGCTCGAAGAAACGTCCAGTGACCTTTAGGCGTATAATTTATATAGGAGAATCGCGCGGGCTATGGGGAGAGAATCTCTTTCGTCAGTATGTGAAAGGCTACTGATGTATAAGTGGTGTCACGGCTAGATTTGCGGAACAACCGATACAGATCGCAAGGTTACCGTTTCTTGAGAAATTTTGAGGTCTCACGCTTTCGTTTCACTCTTCTCGGATACTGCTAATGAACTAGTCCTTGACTTCAACAAGGATTTCAACAATATCCTTCGTAATTCTTAGAAGTACTATAATTTATGTAAAGAAACACGTTTGCCATTCATGATTATTTTTAAGTAATTAGAAAATCGGTTATAATTTTTATTCGCGACATTTTGCATAGACAAACTTTCCTCTGCAGTACTTTGTGAACGAAAATTATATTTTCTTTTTAGTACAATTTCTGTACTTTTAGTACGATCAATCCTTGTCGGTGAGGTTGCGAAATCAAGCCTCCTTAACCTCTGGGGATATTCGTGACTTGAGAAATTTCTTATACAACATTGTTTCTGCAGAAAAGAAGATAATATAGGCAGCATCTGGTGAAATATTTAATGTATATCGAGCCGCTTGTGTCAAGAGGTTTAACTTAAAGAACATAATGAATGATGTTTCATTATTATTATTAAAATAGTACCGTTCTAACTTTCTGATTTATAATGTTCCATTAATTTACATTATGCAACCTCCATAGCGTAGAAGTAATTATGTCGGGCTAGCGAGAAATTCTATGATTAATACTAGCAAAGCTTTAAAAGATATTCAGGTGCAAGGATGAATAGTGCAAACAATTAGCCACATCTTAGTAGCCCCGTCAACGTTTTATTTGCACCTAGGGAAAGTTGCAAACTGTACGTCTAGAACGTCTTCGGTTCTAATGAGAAACCAATATGACAACAGTTTCCTATGGGTCAGCAGTTCGCGCGGCTTCAGGTGCAAAATTGTGTCGTAATAGCTAGAACTGCCTACAGCTGCATTTGGTTACTTGGTTCACCGTTCACACCGACAAAAGATTCTCGAAAGAAGATTCGAAACTACGATGGCTCATGAAAATATTACATTAAAACTTTTACAAATATATAGAAAACTTTATAGAAACTTTATAGAAAATTTGTATGAATACACTATGTATGTCATTGAAATATTTTTGAAATTCCAATAGCATATGAATTGAAACACGACTACATGGGCTCAAGTTCTTTCGCGAGTGATTGTAGTTCAATGGTACCCTTCAAATCTTTTAGATATTTAATACATATTTGCATTTTTAAGAAGATTCATAATTATTCATGAATGGTAAACGTTGAGTAATAATATCTATGATATCATTCAAGAGGCAACATAAAATATCAGAAACATAATTTCGCTTTGAAGTTTTTATGATCGAACACCCATTTATCGCATTATAACCGGATGATTTATCTTCGGTTGATTTGAATCGGACAGACGAGTTCCGTTCAATAGACAAACGGCTAGATCAACTATGATACGAGCAAAAATGACATCTTGCATAATAGCGAAAGCGCGGGTTGCATCTTTACCTGTACTAATAAAGTCTGAGCAACGCGTCTTCGAGAATATGGCTTTCTAATTATTCTGCTTCGTGCACTGCTAATGCGAGTACTTATTAAACGAAGAAAGAAACATCGTGGCGTATCCATCGAGGTTTGTCGTAACTCGCGCGGCGAACAACGAAAATGGCAACCGGGTAGAAGGGAAATCATTTTCACGAGAGCAGAAAAGAAGACTAAGTGGAGTTATAAGCGGAACAGGTATAAATTGAGTTTAATTAATGCATGACGGATGCTCGTGGATGGTTTTCGATTTAGTTTCGCGTGATACCTTATCGCGTTTTAATTATCCTGCCATTAAATAAATAGATAATGGAAGTAATGATTCGTAATATCTGAATTGTTTAGGTATGTAACAACTTAATCATTTAGAAGCTATACAATTTTTTTTATTGAAAGTAAAAACATTAAACAGTAGGAGGTTTAAGTTAGCAAAGCGGTTATTTTAATAAGTGTTGAAGTATTGTCTTACGTTGAAGAAAATTAATAGCAATTACATCAAGTCTTGTTATTATCGGTCCGTGTCACTGTACAATTAGAAGATGTCGATGCACATTACCTAAGTGCCTTATTTGACAAATAAATGAGTATACATAAATTGCCAACATTATGAAAACAGAAGGTTGCCAATTACTGCTTTAGACAGTTTTAATTTACGGCCAGGTTTACGGTAAAGATTAATAGGACATTTCTGACCGAGCAATATCTGTAATCTCTTCCTTCGATCCCATACGCGCATACATTTCATAAAATTATATTTTTATTTAAAGAATGCTCCACTTTTAGTCATAGGTGCATTTTATCATTTATAACTTTATTCTCAAAGATATTCACCTATTAATTCTATATTCAACATCTGCCACACAAACTTTCTTCTTATTCAGATTTCTCTATTATTATTATTATTATTGATACTTATTTAGATTTAAAAAATTCCTTCTTGATCCTTCCACGAAATAGCTAATATAAATGAAGCATAACTTCAAAAATGGGGCATATGCCTTAATCTTACAGTCTAATAGGTTTCAACGTTCTCGGAAAAATTTGAACAATCCAGCAGCCTTTCCAAAGTCAAAGGAGTAACGAAAGAATAAAGTAGATTCGTAATCACCCTCATTGTCTTCGTGATCGCACAAACTACCACTTTAGGCTACTACGTGACGAATTTCTCTCGTGGCTCGTGCCGATGAATTAAACAGGGCAGGCCACTGTCACGCGTCACGATGCGCGAAAAGAAGTACGTCTCCGGAGAAAGTACGGTACGCCACAGTTCGCTCGTATCTCCCCACCCATGTAACAATGCATGCAACCATCGCAAAATCAAGGAGGAATGCAGCGAAAAAAATTGGAGGACGATGACACGACGAAATGTTCGCGTACTTTTACTAATTACCATAACAAAGATCGGCTTTGTTCTATTGGGACGAGAAAAAAATCGCCGGTGTTCTACTGCTCTCTGCGATAGCGTTTATACGAGGATGCAAATGACATTCAGCGACAAGCGTTTTTATCATACGATCCTGTCGAGGAAAATGAGTAAGAACATTTCCTTTCAACTCTTGAGACAATAACGTTTCTTCAATACAAATGAACGTTTTTATAACCGAATGTTTTCTTTGGAAATTCATGACTTTTCATCCTTTGTATGTAGTATATAGTGTGTACAAAACTTTTTGGTGCAGTGTTTCATTTGATAATTACAGGAGAAAACACGATAAGTACATTCTTGTCAATTTTTCTTATTTTAGTGTTACTGTATCTTAAAAAAGGAAATATTTTAATATAAAAGGCTTAAAAAATTGTTATATCAGTTATATAGTTGGTTTTGTAGTAACTAAAGGTATGATTATTAACAAACGACATTTTTATATTGTAACAATATCTTAATAACGAATAATATATCTAAAGTTATAAAAAAGATGGATAAATATACGCTTAAATATATAATAAATAAAAAGACAATTTTCGTAACATGGGATTGATTATATGAAAAAAACATAGTGAATATTTAAAACCTGCACCTGTGTAAAAAATGGAAGAAGTTACTTTATCTTGTCTTTCCTTCCTAGTCTTCATTTAGAATAAATATTAGATATCCTTAATAAATCTTATTAATGTACATTATCTTCGTTTGATTATAAATTTAACTCATGGATAAATTCACAAAACATTTAATAAATAAGCATAGTGTGTCGTCTCTATAAGTGTTGCCTCGTTCACCATAGACGATATCGTTGTTCTAACTAACGTTCACTGACGCAATCGAAGGAATCGGAGTATGTTATGCTCCACGAGTCACGAATTGCCGAACAGAAAGCTACCTGTGAATCCCTTTTGAGAAAAGGTTGAAGATCGCAGGAAAAAGTGTTATAACTATTACGTAAACAAAGTTATAACTTGGCCGCTGGATCTCGTCTCGGACGATATACAAAAAAGGAACAGAAATTGCGATCGGGCCAGATGAAAAGAAAAAAAATAAAAACAGAAAGAAAAAGTAGAAGGAAGAGCCGACAATTATTTATCGTTCTTATGTGAAAGAGCATGGATCATCGTGAAATTTATTGGTCAAT